AAGGCTTGGAGTCGCTGAGCGAGGTGGACGGCGATCTTTCCATTTTCGGGAACAGGAACCTGCACACTTTGGAAGGCCTGGAGCAGGTGAACACCGTGAAGGGCAGCCTGTCAGTCTCCGAGAACGCCCAGCTTGAGTCTCTGGAGGGCCTGCGGTCGGTGAAGACGGTGAAGGGTGCGCTGGAGATTTTCGGCAACGGGAAGATAGAGGACCTCGCGGGGCTGGAGTCCCTGAGGGCCGTCAGGAAGGGCCTTCGAATCCATGAGAATGATGGCCTCGTGAGCCTCCAGGGCTTGCAGGCTCTCGAGACTGTGGTGGGCGGCTTCTCGGTGAATCGCAACAAAAACCTGCAGGGCCTCGAGGGGCTGCACGTGCTGATGAAGCTGCGAGGAAGTTTGTCTCTTTCCCACAACGCCAAGCTTGTCAGCCTGCAGGGGCTGCCGAACCTTGACGTCATCCGCGGAGATTTGACAATCGGCCACAACGGCTTACTGTCCAATCTTTCAAGCCTGCAGGAGCTGAGAGCCGTGCAGGGGAACGTTCGAATTGAAGGGAATCCCAGGCTGCGAAGTTTGGAGGGGCTGCAGCAACTCGTCGACGTGAGCGGTGATTTCGTGGTCAAGGGGAACGACATGCTCGTAGATCTCATCTCCATGTCGGAACTCGCAACAATCGCTGGTACTCTGGAAATTTCACACAACGGACAGCTCGGGAAAGTGGTTTTGGAGAAGCTGGGTGCGATAGGCGCGGATCTCAAGATAATCAATAACGCCAGGCTGAATTCCACTGTACTTGGCAGTGTGTCATCGGTGAGCGGCGATGCATCCATCATCTCCAATGGCCAATATCTGCTGAATCGCCCGCGCGTCATCAACTTAGGGACGCTCAGTACTGTGGGGCGAAATATGGAGCTTTCGGAAATGGTGTTTGGCGAATTTTCGTTCGTGGATCCCGTTACCGTTGGTGGGAGCCTCTTCATCCAAGACTGCTCATTTACGCTCCAGCCCGCCCACCGCAGCACAAGCTTCAGAAACTTACAGAGCATAGGAGGGGGCCTGTACTTCGTTTCAAACAACATTTCAAGTTCCGGCAATGATTCATCGTTTGATGTTTTCAGAAATCTCCGAAGAGTGTGCTTTGGCGGCGCCGCGGAATGCAGCCTGCTGATTGGGAACAATGTGGGGTACGTAGAGGTCAATCAGTTTGCCCAACTGTCCGCTCTCAACGGAAGTCTGCTCGTTGTGAACAACACGGGTCTTCAAAACATAACCAGCTTCAGTAATCTCAGGTCCTTGGAATTTGTTGCCAAAGGCACAGAGCAGAGCGTTGGTGGAGTGGAGGGTCTGTGCGGCGGTTTGGTTGTCGCATTCAACCCAAGCCTGACTTTGGCAGATTTTGCCTACATTGAAAAAGTAGAAGGAAATGTGGTTGTGGATGCAAACCCTGTTCTTCAGCGCATCGTGCTGAGCAGACTTGAGAGCGTCACCGGCTTCACGAGGATCACAACAAATTTGAATGCAGCCGGCAGCTCCTCGACAGGCAACTTTTCAGCGGGCAGTTCTTCGGCTGGCAGCTCTTCGGCAGGCAATTCCTCAACCAGCAAACTATCAGCAGATGGGATTTTGTTGTTTGATCGCCAGGGCTGCCGAGCGAGGAGAGTACTCATTAATGACACCATTGTCAGAAACGAAACGACGTCCACTGTTGCTGCAGAAAAGCCGGTCAATCAGACTATTCCGGTGGCGCTAAACAACCGAGGGAGAAATCAGCCAAAGAGAAGGCTTGTTGCCGTCAGCGCGTTCGCAATCGCAGCTCTTATTGTGGCATCTCTGTTGCTCTTCACCTGCATCGCATCGAATGTTCGTCGCTGCGGAGACGAACGGATAATGAGCAAGGAGCACGCGGTGGACATGTTCCAGGGTCACGTGTTGGCAATAGCAGATGTGCTTTCAGACGTCGCCTTCATTACTGCAGTGTTTGCTTCGCACGAAGGACGGCGCGAGAGAGGCGACTACGGGGAAAGCAGAAGCGGAAATGCGGGTCTGATTGCCATCGCGATTTTGAGCTTGATTGTCGTCTCTATTTCCAAACTGTGCACTGCAATTTTCGTGTATTGGGGATTGACCAATGCTGAAGTTGCGGAAGAGGTGGGATTGAAGGGCGCCGCGGGAACGCTGATGGAGCACCTGAGGCAGGCAGGCAGGGCGCGCTGGATCCACTGGCTGCTCTTGTTCCCCGGACTGTTGGCCGTGGACGTTGCCGCCATGAACCACCTGCCGTGGGGGGAACGGGTGACCGCCAGGAAGACGTGCACCGCCCGCGGCTTTCTCCATTCCTATTTTGCCTGGGTGGCGTTGGCTGCGACTGTGGCACAGTGCCTGCCGCAGATTGTGCTGCAAATCGCCTTCCTGGGCGTCGCGAACAGCGGCGAAGGTTGGGCAGTTGCCGTGGCAGCGGTGTCCCTGACGCTGTCCATTTGCAACGCCGTGGCCAAGGTGGGCGTCCCCGCGATGGTGAAGCTGCTTGGGGACGTGGACCGTGCGGGAAGAAGGGCGGATGGCTGTGGCCCAGGTGCGCGTGTCGCTAGGGTTGAGGACAAAAGTGATGAAATGGAGCGGGTTGGGGGCATTGACGTGGATGAGGGATCCACAAGAACTGGCCATCATGGGCTGGAATTGCGGCTACCGAGCACCCTGAGTTTGTAAATTCTGTTGATTGGCGGGCTGGAAATCCAGGTGCGTGTGGTGCCTTTGTGCGGTACATGCGGGCGAAGCTCGCCATGGGGTACCGCTCGTGAGGTTTCAGCCACATACGTGAGGTTAAGCTAAGTACACTGGGGCGCCAACGAGACGGAGTCAGGCAGTGTTCAGTACAAGGACGCCAGCTGGGACTCTGCGGGACGCTTGCTAGGACGCCCACTATAATGGCAACGGGGCGGCTTCCGGGGACGCTGACAGGGATGCTGACCAGGAAGCTGACTGGGATGCAAATGGGATGCGCGCACACATGGCTCCCAACTGGGAAAGGACCGGCTGGGCTCCCCGGCAAGCGAGAGCAGCCGTTCCTTCCACCCACCCCCCGGGGGATGTTGTCAGTCCCTCTGTCTTTTTTCTCTTTTCCGTGAAGTTCCATTCTTGTTTCGGACACCCAAAACCCCGGAACCCCACTGACCAGGGTTGGCCTTGTCAGCTGAAGAAGAAAGGACCCCCACTCCCAGAAGACAGAGAAAAAGACAGAGGGACTAATATATTCTCCAACCCCCACGTCCGGGCATCAGCCAAAAGAGGCCGCGCTGGCGACACTTGGGCCACCCCGATACGCGAGCGGGCCGCCCAGCCGCGTCACCGCACAATGTCAACATCCATATCTCCTAATCCTTGGACAATATCTCCTGTTCCTCGCGGCTCCCGCGCGACGTGCAGCGCTGGCATCCCCGCTGGCTCGGCCCCGCAAGCGCCGCCAGGCTGCCCGCGGCCTTTTCGCGCAGACCGCTCACACGCCACCCCTCCAAACGGCGGAGTTCAGCGGATACAGCTCCTGAAAGTATCCTGCTTTTCGCGGACGGCCGGACCCTTGGGAGATTTCTGCACCAGACATGCGGGTGCGTCCCTCTCGTGGCTCCCTGTCGTCACCTTGGCCCGCACCTTTTCTGTTCCCTTTCCTCCGTCCATTTTCCCGTCCTGTGCCCCCATCAAATGTGCCTAATGACTCCACACCTCCGCACCCCCCCGGCCAGATTTCTGCCCCAGCGTCGCTGGTCCACGCGTGGAGCCAGCGCAGGCCCCAGGCGCCAGCCGGCAAGAGTACGACACGCGGGCGCGCCGCCCGCCCGGGCGTCCGACCGCCCACAGGGGGGCCGGGTGGTACCCGCACACCGAGGGGCGCGATCCCGCGGACGGGGAGGCGTCGCGATTCAACCGGCGAGGGGCGGAGGGGGCGCGGACGTGGCTGAGTCGGCGGCCGGCTGCAGCGGCGGGTAGGGGGGCTGGGGCGCGGATTGGCGGAGAGCATGCCCCGCACGGACGGCTTGAGCGAAGGGGAGGGGCCCGAGGTGGTTGGGAGGCTGGGAGGGGGCGATTGTGAGGGCCGGGAGGGGCGATGCGCTGTGGTGCTGGGTAATTTCGGGCGTGGCGTGCCGTGGCGCGGTGTCGCGGGTCGCGGGGAGGCATCGGGCCGCTCCGCGCCTAGTCGGCACCCCCGGCAGTTTTGATCCGCCGGGATCCCTTTCCGGCGATTGGAGCCCCGCGCGTCGCGGGCGCGCCCCAATGCGCGCCGGGGCATCGCCGCTGGCGGATCCCCGGACCATGCGCTGACGACGCTGGCTAGGGTCGCTGACTTCCGGCGGCGCCAATCGCCGGATGGCCCCGCGGCCTTGACCGCTCCGGGGCGGCTGCCGCGGCGGCCATGCTCTGCTCGTGTGTCGATGTCGCCGCCTTCCCTCCGGCATTGCCCATGTCCACTCATGCCACCCGCAGCCCCCAAGGCCCCATTTCCAATCGTCGGCGCGTCCTATGCGATTCACCCTCACTGTCCGCCAACAGGAGGGCCCAGAAGGGCCGCACCTCTCCCAGGCCTGGCCCCGCGCCCCTTTCAATCTCATCACTATCAAGGTCACCCTATACCTCACCCTTTGTCGATCGACCCGCCGGCCGAACCGTCCCTGAACTCACCGAAACTTGCGCCCCAACCCGTCCCCGCGCTGTTGACTTTAATCCCTGCCTCTCGAGCGGGAGCACCCCCATCTAAGAGCTCATGTCTTCACACAAACACACACACACACACACCTCTGCCACCTCTCCTTGCCTCCCCCACCGCCCCAGCAGCCAACCGTCTTACCCTCTTGTCGTGTCCCAGCGGCCCCTACCTCGCGTTTGTCGCTCTTTTCGCAGTTTGAGTTTTCCGTTTTTCTCGATTCCCCCGCCTGACGTCCTCTCCGCCGCGCAGGATCTGCGCGCTGCCGCGTGGCCCATCGGCTGGCCGTCGGCGCCGTCGCGGCAGCCATGGCCAGCCCCGAGCCCCTGGCCGATTGGCTGGACAGCAGCCTGACGGACGAGCTGCTCGCGTCGGTGGACCTCGGTGGGCCGCTGTCAGGTGAGGCTGGGCGACGAGGCGCAGCGCAAGGGCCCCCGCCCTCCTCCCCCGACGAGTGCATGTTTTCTTGCCTTTCGTGTTGCTTGTGTTGTGTGTTCAGCATTGCGCTCTCGGAGGCTCTACATCATCTCTCCGCAGCATTGAAGAGAGCCTCGCTCACGCTTGCTTAGGAGGGTGCCCTTTGTGTAGCACGTTTGTGTTGGAGCAAACAAATCTTGCCCCCCCTCTCTGCCGCCCAAGATTGTGCCAGCAGTCGGATATCGAATCCAGAATGGGAGGATTCATGGATGCTGAAAGCTGTGACCCGCTTTGGGGCGCAGTCGTCGGGCTATCAGCTGTTGCGATGGTGCTTGAGGTGTTGTACTTATGGCAATATCGCTCGCTTGTGGGTCGAACTGGCCCCTGGCCAATCCATCCGCCAAATCGTGCCTCCACGCTTGAACACCAAGGGCTGCATTCACTTTTTCTGGCTTATTCTGGCTCCCTGCAACGTACATCTCTTTCTTCTATTGCCTGTAGTGATGTGTAGCTGAATTGTAGGTCCTTTCTGTGCCGATCGCTGTGTCCCCATTTCGATCCCAGGATTAATTGCAAATGTGTATGCAGAGCACGTGTTTCTGTGTCCTGTTAGGGGCAGATGTAGACAACCAAGTGCGTTTCCCTGTAGAAAAGAGAGAAAAGGCATCATGTGTGGTCTTGGAGGGAGATGGAGCACATTCATTCCTGAGCGATGTCCCACACATATATCTGTTATGGAATCATGTTCTGTACCTGTTTGAAAGATGCTGCATTTGAGCATCTTTGGTGACTGTTGGTTGATCTGCAGAGTGGCTGTTTCATAGGATATGCCATGTTGTCTTCAGAGGCAATGACCACAAGGGTTGAGAGGCAGTTCCTGTATGTGTTTTGGACACATGTTTGCCCTGTATGGGTGTGTGCAGGATTTAGGGTGTGTTTACAGGAGAAACACTGTTGTTGCACATTGTCATCATGGCCCACTGCCACTGCCACATAGGACATCGTTTCCGCTTGTGTCAAAACATGGATCCTTTTGTCAGACTGACAAAGCAGTGCGTTTGCACCTTTGGGCTCATGGTAGGAGCATTCTTCTGCATTGGTCCTGGTCGCTTGAACTGTCCCACACAAATTGAGCTACCAGCCTTGTTGCCCATGTTCATGTGGTGGTATTGCCCCCAGCCGATGAGAACAACCTGCTTTTCTCACTGTTCAACGATTCGGGTGGCGCCTGCGCATCCTCGTTTGCTGCTCTGGAGGATGATATGTTTGAAAACGTCGATGACAAGAAGGTGAGTTGGGGGAAAGAATGTTGGGGATCCAAAAGAGGATCCCTTTTGGTGTGGAGATCTTTTCTTGTGCCAGGCGGCAAAGTTGCTGTTGCCTGCTTTGGTGGGTGTGTTTGATGTGCTTTGGAGGTCACCTCTTGACTAAAAGCCGGTGCAGGGTTGCCAGCAAAGTTTGCTATGTTTGGATGGACTTTGAAAGTGAGCATCTTGTTCCAGCATGGCGGTCTCTGCACATGCACCTTGTTCAATGTGGTGCTTTCTGCCAAAGTAAAAGGAGGCATCCTAGCTCATAGAGGCCACTGTTTGGATCTTTGTGTGGGCATCGTTGCCTGGGAGCTGCAAAGGCCTTAGTGCAATGGTGTTTTCACAACTGCATTCCATGTATTGTTTGGAATTTGCAACACCGCCCAAGGGTACAGCTTCACAAAAGAAACATAGATGAGAGATGGATGACTGGTTGGGTGCCTTGGCAGGTAGTTTTGGTGTCAGCTGCAGCTGCCGGTCTCAGGGGCCCACAGGGCAAGCTGAAGCATGCATTCAGCACAGGGGACCTGCAGGTAATGCAAGAGGACAGGGCAAAAGAAGCTGAGGTGAACTTGCAACTTTAGAGTGGCATTTTGGACATGTGGCTCTGACCAATTGTGGAGGTGCCATCCATATTTTTGTTCCCATTTTTCATTGAACAACGGCTTGTATTGTTGGGGAATAGAGAAAACTGATGTAGGAACCAGTTCCTCATATGCCCTTTGCTATTCTGGATCGAGTTCAAGAGAGCAGACACCAGTGCACTTGCCACACGATTGTTAAGTAGGCTTGAGATTGTGCGATGAGCCATTTGCTGTGGTGTCACTGAGTTTTGCTGCTAATGAGCTGCCCTGGCTGCAACATTGGGCCCTCACTGCTCTGCATCGATGCCTGTTGCATCAGTCCTCGATCCCATGCGGCGAAGCGCCTCGGCACCAGGCTTTCATGATTTTGGATGTGCGCTAGCACCATGCAGCATGGGGTTCTGCTCAAAAGGAAGAGTCCTATGTCATGGGGAAATTCAGGTCAAACATCATACTTGGTTATACACAGGCTGAAGATGCACTATGCTGCTTGGAAGAAATGTGCAGCAGAGTGGACATGCACACAAGCTACATATGTTGACAGATGGCTTGTGTTAGACTGTTTACCTTGTTTGTAGGCCATGCCATTAACACCTCGGCATGTTGGCACGCAGCACAACGAATATTCTCGAAGGTTTAAAGAAGTGCTCCTAAATCGAAGCCTTCAGTGGACAATGGTAAAGGCATTGTATCCGATGCTGAGCGTTCTATCAGATGTGGGGGTGACAGTCAGTGGGGGCAGTGCGGTCGTTTTTGAACAGTAAAAACCAACCTTCCGATAGGGCAAACAAGGCCGTGCAGCACACGTTGGCTACTGACCTGTGTGCAGCATTGGGTGGCTGGCCTCAATGTGTCCCAACCTGTGAAACCCGCCAAGCTGGGTAACCTTCTAACTGTGCTATCTAGTTCGCACAAAAATGATTCTGATGTGTGACCCCCATGCTGAGTTGAACTGTGCATGCACAGAAGCCTGTGCTGCAGCATTCGTTCCTTTCAAGTATGACATGAGTAGCACATTTGCATGGATCAGGGATGTTGCATCAGGGATTTCCCTGTTCTTGCTGCAGTGCAAGTCTTGTGATCGATGTGCGTAAGTGCTGCTTTCTCGCAGGGAGGGCTGTGGGCCTCGGGTTGTGCTGCATCCACACACAAGCACACGCACCCAGTCCTTCAGAAGTTGACCACCGTCTGTTTCAAACATTTAACCATCGCCCTTCATCAACCAGACACCACGTGACCACTGTGCATTGCCAAACCGTGTGCAAGGGTACACATTTGACCAATCAACCCTTTTTTCCTTGCATCACAAAGCTCACATGGGCAGACCTGGACGTGGCCATGATACATTCTGTTGGGCCATGTATTGCAGGCATAGCACGGACAGTGACATGCACACTTCTGTCATAACACCATATGCAGGGAAGCTTCTTCTTCTTCCATCACAAAGCTGATTTTTTGGACTTGATTTAAGGGGAATTCATTCATCATTTCTGTGTGCAGGCTCTCTCCCCTTCATCCCCCACCGATGACACAACCCTGGTTCCCACACCCAGCCTGGAGAGCGTCCCCGAGTGCTCTGCTTTCAACCCAGGCCCCATGCAAGCGCCAGGGGCCTCCCCCTCCTCCCCACCAGCACCCGCACCCCTCAACCTCACTGACCTCTCCACCGACGACCTCGAGCGGGAGCTGTCTCGACGGAGGGCCGGAGTGAAGTCTGAGTCCAGTGAGTCGGACACCCCCACCTCGCCAGCGGTGCCGGCAGGATCGGCGGGCGCCGTGCACCCTGTGTATGTGCCGGCGCCCAGTCCCTTGCACCCGGCTGGGTTTGCGGGCATGTACATGGGCCCCCCAGGGCTCCCTCAGGGCCCTGCAGGAATGCACCCTGGGGCCATGGTGCCTGCCACGGCGATGGGCACCCTGGGCACGATTGCAAGGGGGCCGATACCGGCTGTGGCAATGGCACAGATGCAGCCTGCCATGCCTTGCCATCCCAGCATGGCTAAGGTGGGTTTGCCAGCATTTTGGCACATGTGTCTGTTGATGGATTATTCCCTAAATTGCATTGTGTTTGGACGCTCTGTCAGACAGTTGGAACTAGAGGCCGGGAGTGGCTAAGCTTCCCTTCCAGAAATCCCCTGCCTGATGGATCTCCCCAGCCCGTTCTGGTGGAGGTTGAAAAAACGTTGCAGGGTGGTGTAACACTTGAAAGATTGGTGTATCATGGGGTTATGCATGTTGTGGTATCTGCTGCACAAACTGGTGAATCGACACTGCATAGTGTCTGCTGCATGTGTGGCGCCACAACCATTGTTTCTGTGGTTTTCTGCACTGTTTTTCATGGCATAAGAGTCAATCATGGAAAGACACATCTTCCCAGTCAGGATAAATGCGATTTTCATCAGTGTATCATGGGGTTATGCATGTTGTGGTATCTGCTGCACAAACTGGTGAATCGACACTGCATAGCGTCTGCAGCATGTGTGGCGCCACAACCATTGTTTCTGTGGTTTTCTGCACTGTTTTTCATTGCATAAGAGTCGACCATGGAAAGACGCATCTTCCCAGTCAGGATAAATGCGATTTTCATCAGGGCACAACCTGGAAGATAAAACGTGGGGTTGGTAACAACGCAAGCTGAAGCTGGTGCAACTGTTGTGCTCGATGGGGCAGGCCATGGCACCTGGAGGGTTCTTTGTGCAAGACAGTAGCTTCATGATGAGTGGGATGCCCACACAGCAAGGCGTGTTGCAGACAGTGGCGCAGCAACAGCCAAGCAGTTCATCGACTGCAGTGTCAATGCCAATGTCAGGGTGCGTGCATGGAGCTCTTTGCAGTGCCACTATGCATATTTTGAACCACTTCAACATTGCATTGCTTCAGCAAAATGAAATAATTTTTATACCATTGCTGTCCAAGCATTCTATTCCAGGGACACAAATGGCTCCCCAAGAGCAAATGGTTGACACACACATTGTGTGTGTCCCACAAAATGACCTCGACAGGCAAGATGGCAACAGTACACAGCCAGAGTGCTTACCTCTCGTTTTTAGATTTGGCGATCATAGTCTTGCGATCTGTCCCATGGGCTCCATCCCCTTGCAGTCTCTGCTGAGGCAGCACAAGGCCCACGCCTTCTATGTGGAATGTCGTAGCACCTGAGTTGTTGAATGTGACTTTCATTTGGCATAAGAACTGTAGAGTAGAAAACAGTTTTTGCTGCAGGCTGCCTTCAATACTGCAGCATACGTTCCTCTCGCAGCCCATGTCATCGACACCATCATCAGGTGTCTTCCCCATGCCCCCACCTGGCACAGCACCAACAGGAGACGAGTCCCCCTCTCGGGTGCTCCGCAAGTCGCAGAGCACACCTGTGCTCTCCAGCCTGAATGCTGCTGTCGCTGCTGCCGGGGCTGAGGCATCTGGTGATGCACAGAAGATAGGGCGTCTCACAGTGGAGGAGCGGCGGCGGAAAGTGCTTAGGTACAGGCAGAAGCGGCATGAGAGGAAGTTTGAGAAGAGGGTGACCTACCAGGTGTGTGAGGCAGTGTCTTGCTGTATTCGCAAACGACACACATGCAATACATGGAGCATGTTTCGTTGATCAGATCAGTTATTTCATCCTTTATGTACATGCTGCAAACCACATTGCATTGAAGGTCTTTGAAGGTGATGTTGTCACCATCAAGCTTGCCACAAGCATCATGACCCAACACTTCACAGTGTAGCACAACTGGTTTCTCGATTTTTCAGACTCTGTTTGCGCAATAGTTACAAGTCGATGCTCTGCTTTCAATACAGTTGTCCACAATTTGCATCTGCCTTTCACAGTCCTTTTTTGGAATGTGTATGCTGATGCTCTCATTCTGAGTGCAACCACCTGCTGCTCATTACTTGTGCAGCGCCTTGGCTGCCGCAACCCAGCATTCATTCAGCACGTTAGTGCAGCACCTGTTTCTGTCAACCGTGCCTTCGTCATGTGCTTGTTGCTGTGCACAGTGCCGCAAGACGCTTGCAGACAGCCGGCCACGGGTGCGCGGCCGTTTTGCACGAAATGATGACTCTAATGCTGTGATGCCGCACCAAACCAAGAAGGCTCTTGCCACAGTGAAGAGCGGCGAGGGGGGGGGAGGGCTGGACGAGATCATGGACATCCAAATGGATTGCCAGCGCGAGGTGCTTGCATGTTCATGTTGTGTCTCCTCCTGTCTGGCTGCAAATGATGCTGAAAGGAAAAGATGGTTCTTTTGCCCAACAGGCTTTGAGTCTACGATGAGGTATCACTTTAGCCAGGCTTTTGCATGTGGCCTTTGCATAGTTTTGCGTTTCTGGTTGTATTGCTTCACAGATAATACATGGTGTTGTAGCATACTTCCTCTGTCCCATAGCAGATGCCCTCTGTCTGGAATCGTGGCATGCTTATATCTTACAAGGATCAGGACAAATGTTCGAATAGACACCTCATGTGGAAAGACCAGGTGCCAAATCCCCAGTGACATTTCAAATCTGGAGAAGAATCTTTCTCTACCCCTGTTCCACATCAGCCAAAAGGCCCTTATTTGCGTAAAGAGTGGACGATCAGACGATGGTTAATAATCAAGCTTTTCAGAGCCCATTTCACATTCCTGTGACTCACAAGAATGAGTGCGCCACTTGTCAGACGAAGTGGCGTTGCAAGCTATTGAAACGTGGCCGTGGACCGCTGGCTGGATGATAACACGGCTCACCACTGCTCTTCTGGGCTTGCAGGGTTAGCCCACAAAATTGGCCCTTTTTGTAGCCAGAGTGGAAACACACTCAAGTTTTCGCTCTATTGAATAGGATTCACTTCTGTACACCATCCATTACAATAACAGCTACAAATGTGCAGAACTGCGAATTTCAGTTCAGGTTTTGATGTAAAACTAGATGTGTGCTGTCATAAGGGACGTTGCTGTGGGACAGAGGACGCAGTATATTATGCAGCAGTACTAAGCAATGGATATACTTGATGTACTTTGTCATGCAGCTTACTGTATTGCGCACAAAGTTTGGTGGTGTCTCTTTTCTTCCAGTTCTCAATCAGTTCCAGTCAGTATTGTCAATTTGGTCTCTTCCACCTTTTCCTTCCGGTGTGGCGCCCATGCTGACATCCTGGTTGTGACTCAGGCAGGGTTTGGGGATGAGGCAGGTGACCCCCCCTGCATTCCTTGACTGCTGGAGAGCGTGTTAGTCATGAGCTCTGACAAGAGCAGTGCAGTGGACATGGATTGGACCCACCTCAATGTGCTGTCTTGGACTGAAGGACAGACGGGTAGGTAGGCAAGCAGGACAGGGATGATCGCATGGGCAGCCACATGCAGGTGAACATCAACATGGCCAGCGTCCTGAGCTGTGGCACATGCCCCCAGCAGTGAGTTCAGATTACACAACGAGTCAAAGTCGAATAGATTGAATTCAGGCATGGGGTTGAAAGCATTGCCAAACATTGCCAACGTTGCCAGCTGGTACATCGGAGCTCTTGCGCGCTGCTGCCAAGGTGGCGGCCTGATTTGATTCCGCTCTAGTTTGCGTGTGCTGTGCTTTGATGGAGTCGCTGATCTGGTGGTGGATTGTCTCTTTGGTGGATGTTAGGCTTGGCAGGGTTGATGCTTGTCTTGGAGTTCAGAATTCTTCACCAGCAGCGGTCTGTTCATGCAGCACGGATGGCTGCCTAATAGGTTGAACAGCCGTGGATTTCCAGTTTTTTTAAGGGACCGGGAAGGGAGGACACATCTCCTGTGGGCGTTGGTGTGCATGATGGCTGTCGCACACTGTTGGTCAAAGTTTGCGGGCAGAATCACAGTTTGCTTTGTTGAAAGGATAACGTGACCGAGGGCACCGGGGCAGACGTCCTTGGCCGGGGTCAGTGTCCTGCCCGTTCACGGGCGTGTGTTTTCAGGTGGACTCCCTTCGCTTGCCGCGCCCGAGGGGGCGGTGCGCGGGGCTTTGTCAGATTGCTTAGCCGGAGATTTTGTGGCCGGCGGGCCCCGGGAAAACGGTTTTGAAATGGTGACTCACGGCCCGGGGACCAGATTGTTATTCGTTTATTCAAATAATACCTCGAGGCCGTGGGCCACCCGGGCAAGATAATTTTGAGGACGCCATGGGCCCAAGTGTCCTGGCAGGGTGTCTGGGTGCGTGCAGAGTGGGTGTGTCCGCAATCGCGTGCTGGGCTGGAGTGGCTCGGGAATAATTGTTCGGTGGGCGTCTGCTGGATGATTTGCTCCCGGCCGCGCTTGGCCGTGCGGTGCGCTGGCAGGGAGGCTCGGTGTGCTGTCCGGAATTGACGCGTTGACATGACGAGATTTTGTGTGGGGGCGGCGCGACCGACCGGGTGAGTGGGTTGGCTAGTTTGATAGAGTCACAGCATCGCGCAGTTTTCCTGGCCCAGGAGCAGTCTTCCCAGGGTCAGGCGCGGGTGCCCGCGGGCGTTTGCAAGGGGCAAGCTGTTGAGTCATGATAGAAAGCGGCACGTGGGGGAGGGGGAGGGGTTGTTATTGAACGTTCTCAGGGTGCCGGGTGCCTCGCCTTCAGGCTCAGCAAGGGAGGCGCTCGAACAACGAATAGGTCTGTTTCTCTGTCCTTTTCTCTTCAAGTGGATGATGGGGAGGATTCTCCTCTTGTAGAAGATGGGGAGCGCAAAGGAGGGGCTGGCGGCCTGCCGGCCCCTTCTGCCTCGGTTTTGGTGATTGTGCGCCCAACGCCGAAAAGTACTGTATTATGTGGATGGGCGTTTTGACATCCGTGCGTGGATGCGCTGTACCTGTACAAATATGTATCATATGCTGTATCTGTATTGATATGCCCAGCCCCATCGAGTTGTGCGGTTGCCACACGCAATGCTCCTAAACAACCACAAACAACCTTACACCCAGAACATTGGGACCCTCCCTGCCAATTGCTGGAGTGCTTGGGCTGCTGATATTATGCCGCTCAGTTGGCACGCCAAGTGTGACTTGTAATCTGGTGCACGATCACTAAAGGGCCTTGATGGCATTTCACGTTGATGCTATCCGCCATTCCAACAATCAATGTGTGCATTGATGCCATCATTTGATAGTGCTATCCGCCATTCAAACCTGAAAATTTTGTGACACTTCATGACGCTGCTAACAACCATGGATAAGGGAAGACACTACGTGGGGGGGGAGGGGGGCGACCTGTGACGCTAAGAGATTATGTAATTGCTACAAAATCGACATAAGGAGGAAGGATACCCCAAAACGCCGCGGATCAGCTGGAAACAACTCATGACATGTTCCTAAACCACTTTCAAGTGTTCGATGTTCAAAAATGGCCTTTAAATGGATAAATCTACAACAATTAAGGATGCTCGCCTCGCCTATAATGCCATTTAAAATCCCATTTCTGAAACCACCGAAATGAGTTCAACTTTGACATTTTTTGTCCTCAAAACCTCCTAGAAATTGCATATCACTGTCACATAATGTCGCTGAGTCATCCTTGCATCGACACAAGGATTGACGCTAAAGGGGTGGGGGGTGGGGTAAGATTACAAAAGAGAAACATGTCATACAAAGGGCAACCCCCCACCCAGGCAAGTGTATGTGAGGCTCTTTTCCATGCAATGAAAAGTTGATATAGAGCCTCCGAAGCAAAGATGAGCACACAACACAAGCAAGTCACAGGCAAGAAAACGTGCACGTAGGGGGCCCGTATGAAACGTAGAGAATGTGCGAAATGGGGTGGGTGGGTGGATTCTGGACCCAGCGTCAAATTGGCATTAAGAGCATCTTTATCAGTGGGTGTTATTGTCCGGCGGTGCTATTCGGATGGCCGAATAGCACCACACGTCACGAAACCATCATTAACAGTTGGGGAGCAATAGCACCCCAATAGCACCGCCGATGCTATTCGACGCCGAGCGGTGCTATTCTGGGCCCGAAAAGCACCGCTCGATGCCAAATAGCGCCCTGGAATAGCACCCGGTGCTATTCGTGCAGAACATGGTAGTGCTGCCGCGATGCTATTCGGTGTAGGAATAGCACGCACCATTGCGGATGTGCACAAGGGGGCAATAGCACCGGTGCTATTCGGCAATTGCCACCTTAGTAAGGTGGCAAGGTAGCCAGTGAGAAGCGTTCTTGGATAGCTCCGCCAGTGCAACAGCACCGACCAATGAAGGTGCTCTAAGAGTAACAAAATCGACGTAGTGGCTTCCCTAATCCAGTAGCACATTCTTATGATGGCACATTCTTGGGATGCCATGTCAAACCTATTGTTTCAGGGACTACACTGTGCAGGTTGTGGCATCCCAACGGCGTCAAGTTTATGCCAACCCCCCTAGCAAAAGCTTCACAACCTGTTCATAAGTTGGAACAAAATCTCGCACGCACTTGCTCAGGAGGGGTTGCCCTTTGCATCATTTGTATCTAGATGTTTAACATATCTCACCCTCACATTTGACCAAGAAGGCCATCGAGCGTTTCATTTCATTATGGCATTGTCGAATTTCCAGTGCTTGGGAATTTTTGTCGACGGAGCTGATGTGGTGAATGAGGCGCATCGCTTGGGGTTTGTTGGGATACTGGTATTTTTCTTGTTGTTGGCAAGATCAAGAGAACCGTGCGGCACTGCAAAAGCGACGCGAACTTGGTTGCAAACGGTCTCGTTTGTGAACGAGTTTGTTTCAAGGTTGGCTTGCGCGCAGGGAGTTGGAAATTGAAACTGGCTGCCTGCGTGTATGGTCCATTATTGTAACGAAACGTCTCGCTTTCCGGGGACGGTGGCCAAGCGGAGGTGAAGTTAGAAGCGAATCACGCAGTGAAGTTGGAGGGTGAATTGGCAACGGTGACGACCGTGCAGTCCCTGCAACATGGCGTGAAATGGGCGGAATTGGAATTAGAACGGTAAGCCAGCGACGGGATAACATGATTGAGAGCAAAGGAGATCGAAAATTGCTGGCAGAAAAAAGTGGTGGGAGGCGTACTGGCCTGACGCTCTTCTGCTTGTTTGCTGCGACACCTTGCGCTCTGACCCACGTTGGTCGGACAACATGTGTCCCATGCTAACGCCGATGGTGGCGCGCACACTATGGTCGCAGCCGCGCCCTGACACTGCGAATGGCGAGTGAACTCCCGCCCTGAGTGGACGCCCCGCCGAGCCGAGTGCTGTGGGGAAAGGGCAGGATCCAAAAAGAACATGGTGTGCCCATGAAATGGATGCAGTTAGTCGCGCCAGGGCCCTCAGATTCTTAAACACAAGACAGCCACGAGCAACAGCGACAGCATCTGTCCGCGCCTCAACAAAACCGACGCCAACCAACAGGAGGTCTATTGCACGCCCGCTGGCGGGCACACAGACAAAAACAAGAACTCCGAGCGACTCCGACCTTCGCCACCACAGCACGGCGCACAAAACACAAACACACATGCACATGCACATACAAACATCAAGCACAATCACCGACACTGACCTCATTCCCGCAAGCTAGAGAATCGTCAGCCCCGACAGCTCGCTGTATTCATCCGCCCAGGCATCAAATCACACGGTCCATGCACTCCTCACGATCATTGGAACCCCCTTCCCCCAAGGCCGCAACCTGGACCAGGTCGCATTAAAATGGAATGAAATCTTGCCCTCCCACCGCCCACCCACCCAGTCGCCCGAGGCCTCTCTCCCCGCCACACCCCCCTTCGCCATCCCCGTGCAAAACGCGCCCGTGCCTGATGGCACAGCCACACGGTGCAAGGCCCAGTCCCCCCCGCCCTCCCAAGCTGCCCCGCCCGGCGCCTTCCCCCCTCTTCCAGTCACGCCCCCCCGCATCGTCCTGCTCTCGCCCAGACGCCCCGAGAAGGCCGCTTGATTGCCGCAGACGCCGGGGACAAACAGCCACAGCCCTTCCCAGCCTGCCACCGGGGAGAAGCGGGCAGAAAACACGGTGCCTTGTCTCTCAAGTGCCCCGGCGGCACAGCACCCGGGGGGGACATTGGCAAGGCCCCCCAGGAGCGTCTGCCAGCCCCCGCGCCCGAACGGTCACCCAAGCAAGGTCGCAAGGGTGTCAACATGTCCCAGCCACGCTTGCTCTACCATGCTCCACGCCTTTGCTGAACTCGCCGGCAGCCGAACCAGATCACAGGGGGGGCACTGCACCCCAGTGGTCACACTGCTGCGCTCGTTGGCGACCGACCGGAGTCACAGCAGCGACATGACGCCCAGGACTCGAAGCTT